ACACACACACACAGAGGTTGTTGTGCATAGTCTCTTACCCTAGTCTACTGCAACCACAGGATGTAACCACATACTATTATACTTGTATAACATGTACACACAGACACAGACACACACACACACACACACACACACACTCACTCGCACTCATTACTAAAACACAAAGTCCTTTGATCTCCATTCCAGTAGTATTGGGTGAATATAAGAAGAGTGTGGTTATTAGGTCTTTCAATGCATCACCATGCATGTCAGAGAGAGGTCATTTTATTAAGTCAACCCTGTCGTCCCTTTTTTTTATTGCATGGTCTATTTTAGCAGCTCAGACCTTTATTGTCTGTTGGTTTATTCTAAGCTGTTGCTGTGACCTGTCTCCTGTAGAACCGACCTTTCCTGGGCTTCACCCAGAGTGGATTAACATATTTCTCTTTTTTGTTTTCTCTTCTTTTGATTTAAACCCATACACTACTCTTAGCTATAAACACTGTGGTTAGCCTCCAAACTGTCTTTCTGTCTCTGTGTTTGTCTGAAAATATTATCTTTATCTTAGAGTCTTTTGTATATTTATTTCTGTCTATGTTTCTCTGTCTAGACTGTCTGTTCAGACTGTGTCCCATGAATCGGTACTCGGCCCAGAAGCAGTTCTGGAAAGCGGCAAAGCCTGGAGGGAACACGGACACGGTGCTCCTCAACAAGCTGCATGTAAGCGAACTGGAAGACATGTTCACCTCCCTGCAGTCGCTGCTGACCAGTACACTACACACAGATGTGTACTCGATGCTCACAGGATAACGAGGAGAAAGGGTTGCATAAGACTAGCCTTTTTTTATCTTGAAATTTAGATCATAGATTTGGTTAAGACTGAATGCGAAGCCACACAGTGAATGTATAGATGACTCTGCGCACTAACACAGTTATTATGTATATTTGCTGAGGTAGAATGCTAAAGTCCTTTTTTAGACATTTCCGAATCCTTTCACTCCTACTGTCCTACCTTTCTGCCCTCTACACTCTCCTTTCTCTCTTTCTGCTGTGTTACCATTTAAAGCAATCTGCTATCTGACCACACAGTCATAAAATGGAAGATTGCAATCTTTCCTGTGTTTCCATGGAAATGTGAGCTGGAGTTTTAGGTAGAAGCCCCTCTGTTGAAATGTAAATTTTTGTCTAAGAACTTTGTTTTGCTTTGTTAGATGGCTAATCTATCAGATTACTTTTTACCAGATTACAGTGTAAAACAGGTATTAGTAAAGTAAAAATATTAAGTGTCTTAATATTTCACTATACTCTCTTGATCTCATTCTTGCCTTCCAGCATGCAGCTGACTTGGAGAAGAAGCAAAATGACTCTGAAAACAAAAAACTGCTTGGAACAGTAATTCAGTATGGGAATGTCATTCAGGTTTGTTCCTCTGGATACTACGAAGCACTGAACTGAACGCCAAAAACACAGAAGGATAAGAACAGTTTCACTCCTTAGGCCATCACTCTTGATGAACACAAATCAGTTAGTGTGTCAATAATCCTGTAGCAATAAAACATCCACTTACCTACACATAATATATATACAGTGTGATACATACTTTAATATGTACATGCATAATATTTTACATAACCACTTTGTGTATATAAAGTAATGTTTTACATTACATATTCAATATTTTATTATTTTGTATTTGTTAACATTTTGCAGAAACACCTCTAAGTAGATAATAACCTATATAATGGTTATGTTCAATTTTATTACTCTTTTTAAGCTTTGTTGGTTTTTTTTTTAGCGTATGTCTATTTCTCTCTTCTCGAAAACTTCTCTTAACTTTGAAAACAACTTAAAACTGGAGTCAAATTCCTTGTATGTGTACACATACTGGTTCAGGCTTTGACTGCTCATCCGCTTGGTATTTAGTCAGATAAACTTTGTTTAGTCTTCCACAAAGTTTTGACAGCCCATCAATGGAGGTGATTTTATCTCAAAAAACATTTCCAACTTCTCATATCTTAAATTTGAAGTATGTCTCCTAGAGCATATTATACTGTATGTTCTAGTATTACAGTGTTGTGAATTGTTTGGCATAGGCCCAATGAAAATGGAGGTGGCTGAAACCTCCTGCAGTCTTAGTGATGTTGCAACTTTATATAATACAAATTTATTGTAATACGTCCTAAACAAAGGATATTGAAAGCAGGTTCATAAATTAATTAATAATACTTCATAACACACATGCACAATCATAAGCAACAAAATACTCCAAGGTCAAACTGCTCATAAAGTAAGAAGATTTAGACTTTTAGTGCAGTTAAACGATAGATTTCTTATCTGTTGCATGACATTTATTAAATAAATCTTATGTCAGTAGTGAGAGTGTTTTTAGCGGTGTCTTAAATACAAGCTGCTTTCGTGTAGTCGGTACACTATTTGAAGCATTTACACCTTACCTCAAATTTCAGCCTGTCCGTTTTTGTGTATTGTCTTACACTGTATCCTGTTTCTGCCCAGCTCCTCCACCTGAAGAGCAACAAATACCTGACGGTGAACAAGCGTCTGCCTGCTCTGTTAGAGAAGAACGCCATGAGAGTGATGTTGGACACAGCTGGAAATGAGGGCTCCTGGTTTTACATCCAGCCCTTCTACAAACTGCGCTCCATCGGGGACAGTGTAAGTCATCACATGCATGTGTCTGTGGCCGTGGGGCATTGTGGGAATCTTGTATGTCAGTCAACAAAAGAAAAAGCAACTGAATCATGCCTGGGATAATATGTATTTTACATTTTAAAACGTGTACTTTTTTAAATACAGAAGCAGATGTTAATCTTTATGGCACTTCTCAATCTTAAAAGTCCAGACTTCAAAAGCACAGGTCTTCTCACACCTTAAGCTTCAATGTGAGGCATCCATCCAACCACATCTATTCCTAGATGGACCTGTGCCAGCACCCAATTGGTGTTTACCTGATCACAAAGCTCTTGTTGGCACCAACTCGTCTTTCCCTGCAGCAGGAAGTAGTGGGCTAGTGCCCAAGGACAAAATGAACCACGGCAGAGACTGGGCTTTCTGCTAAGCTCCCCTCAAAGTAGGTATGGCACAAGGCCTAAGCAGCAGCAGGCCTTGGACAAAAAGACAAAAAGAAAATTGGATTCACTTCATACCTGCTGAGAATAGACAAAAGACAGTGACATGCAAATGGCCACTGACACCCTCTGATCTGTACATACTGTATATGCATGTAAGAGATTCAAGCTTGAGTACTTTACTGCAACTGTACTCCCACAGACTACAAATTGCTATATACACAAAATCATTTTAAACTAAAACCATGAAACATGACATAAGTAAAAGTCTAAAAAATAAAAATGCAGTGCTGCAAACCCTATTTATTGGAGCTCAGACCCAGTCAGTTCAGCATGAGCATTATAACATGGAGAAACATCAAACAGAATCAGAATCAGGTTTATTGCCAAGTAGATTTTCACATGAAAGGAATTTAGTATTTTGATCTATAACAATAAACATAGTAGGATTTAAAAAGTATTGCAAAAGTCAAGAATCATGAATAGGGGTGGGAAGGGTCTTTCATGCTCGCCTCAGAGGAGGCATGCAGGTCCTGGAGGGATGGCAGATTGCAGCCAATAACCTTCTCAGTAGAGTAAATGATATGCTGCAGTCTGTCCTTGTCCTTGACAGCGTACCAGATGGTGATGGAGGAGGACTCAATGATAGCGGGTGTCAAAAAGTGCACCATCATTGACTTTAGCAGGTTGAACTTCTTCAGATGCTGCAGGAAGTACATCCTCTGCTGTGCCTTCTTGGTGATGGAGCTGATTTTCAGCTCCCATATGAGGTCTTGGGTGATGATAGTGCCCAACTAGAAGTCCTCCAGTCGACTGGGGAGTCACACGGGGGCGGGTGGGGCTGGGCAAATTGTTCTGTCATCATGGTTCTGATAGTTTTCCACTTTAACTAAAATCCTGCCCCTGTTGTCCCTCTCTGGCAACTCTGCTTCTGCTAGGATTGCAACGCATAACCTTGTTCCTTCATGTTCCACATTTTTATATTTTTTGTGTTTTGTGTGTAATTGCAGGTGGTGATCGGGGACAAAGTGGTCCTTAACCCGGTGAATGCTGGTCAGCCGCTCCATGCCAGCACACACCAGCTCGTGGATAATCCAGGATGCAATGAGGTTTGATGAAGCCGTGCAACTCATCTTCACTCCTCAGATGTTTCTGTGGGAGCGTTGGCTGTGTAGAATCTAGTTATAGCCTTTTTCTCAGAACCGCGGCTCGGTTATTAGCTGCCTGATGTGAAACACTTGTTTTCCTGTTATCAACATTGAGGACAGTTAAGGACAGCTAACCCTGCACTTGGATTCTGTCCTATTTATTTTTCATAACACTAGACTGCTCTGAGTTACCTAACAACATTATTATTGTTTTATCAGAGTGCCTTACAGTTGTCCTATAGAAAAACAGAGACAGTTTAAGGGGGTCGGTCAGTTTTGAGACACTTTTTTCCTGTTTACCAAGAGGGAGACAGACTCATTTATTCCACTGATGATAACAATATACAACAAATTGATGATGTCATTGACATCAACTGGCGACTCTTACCAAAAGAAGGAAGATGCACATTTTTCAATCTTCTATTTGACACTTATTCTTCTTTACAAGCACTTGCAGTAGACAAAGGTTTAAGTTATGAAGCTACAGTTTGTGCTGCATTGGCTGTAGCAAACGTAAACAGAAAGTGAACTGAATTAATATAATCCAAAGTTTTTAGCAACTTTTTTGTAAAATTTTTCAAAAGAAAAATTATCTATGAATTTCTCTTATTCTGCTAAAAATAAAAATCCACAAAGCTAAACTATCCCTTTAACCTTTGCAGAGTTGTTGCAGTGCTCCCACTGTGCGGGCCCACTGCCAGGAGATTTTACCTACACTCACATCAAACTCTGATTGTTTGTTTTTCAGGTGAACTCAGTCAACTGTAACACCAGCTGGAAGATCGTCTTGTTTATGAAATGGAGCGACAATCAGGAGATCATTCTAAAAGGGGTTTGTCTCACAGTAGCTTCACATCAACTCCTTTTTTGCAGGAATTTTGCTACAAAACATATTTTGTATCTAATGCAAACAATAGATATATAAATACACATACATATACTTATACTATATCTTATCTTCTATATATAGTAGGTGCAATACAGCCTTGAAATAATCAATGAAAGGTTTCCAAACTTGCTTACATCCTCTCATTTTCATACAAGAGGTGTTGTATAATGTCCGTCATCGGAGCTGAGTGGGATGGTGTCTTTGTTTCCAGTTCAGTATTATCAGTCTACAGTGCGTATTTACAAATGAGATTATGTATTATTATTCAATAGCTTTACATTATGGACTTAAACAACACCAATAGCTCTGACTTCAGTAGGTATGAACATATTTAATCAATTTTGGGGAACTAGTCAAACTGGTGTCAGTCCACATTGATGGCACAGAGATATTATGTGTTTTGTAAATATTAATTGCAGTAGCTTCTGGTTTATGACAAGGAATGCAGCTTGTATAATCTGGAACATGCTATACGCACAAATTTTCATTTTTTGAGTAATTAGTTGTTTTTAAGTTTGGGCTGAATATTCCTGACAATAACTAACATTTTTCCTCTCTCCAGGGCGACGTGGTACGGTTATTTCATGCAGAGCAGGAGAAATTCCTCACATGTGATGATCACAGAAAAAAACAATATGTTTTCCTCCGCACTACTGGACGACAGTCAGCTACCTCAGCAACCAGTAGCAAAGCCCTATGGGAGATAGAGGTGAGTATTTTTTTTTTAGTGGGACGTACAGTATGGTGTTAAAATGTAGTAAAGTGTAGCAGTTCTCTGTATGCTAGCAGTAAACATAAAGTCAGCCTTTGTAGGGAAGACTATAAATGTTTCCTAGTATTTACTGAACAGCATATCGGGTAATTCAGTCAACAGTACCCGTTAAATAAATTGTATGCATTGGTGCAAGATGTAACCACTGTGTGCTCTGGTATCAGGTTGTGCAGCATGATCCATGTCGAGGGGGGGCAGGTTACTGGAACAGCCTGTTCAGATTCAAACACCTGGCCACTGGACACTACCTGGCTGCAGAGAACAGTGGACACACAGTTTACAGCAACTGTATTTAGAACTAGGCAACATTACCTCTATAGCATATAGAGTATATGTATTACTTTTTAGCTTTTTGAAGGTATTTACATTAACCAGAACTGTAAGGCATCCTTTAAAAACTCATTTAAGCTAAATTTAGGCTATATTGACATTAGAGAAAACAATATTCCAAGTGGTGAACCACTTTGTATTTTTGCAGGTGAATCCAGAGTATGAAGAGGAGTGCCTGGAATCCCGCTCTTCAGTAAGTGAGCCACACTGAAAGACTTGTGCTGAGTTGAGTAGGTAACATTAATATGCCAACAATCACTAATACATGGGCGTTGTTTAAAGTGTGTCCATTGTCAAATGGTTACCCAACCTCACTTGTTGAGCTATAGTAACAGTGTGTATGCTTAGTATGTTATCAGATTACTCACTGGTGAAACTTACATAACCCTTGCTTAAACTGCAAACAGACAACAGGTGATGGCCTAAATTTGCCTTGACCAGTAGTTACACTAGATGGCTGAATGTGCTTTTGCACAGTGAAACGATATTATGTTTCAGTCACCAGCAGATGGCAGCATTTCACTGTGAATGCATCCTTTTTGTATTGGCGCTTTAGATCTTTGCAATGGGCTGTGACTGTGAACGTGAAGCTGTTCACATCTGCTGACCAGGCTGTGACAAGTGTACCAGCTCACAGTGGATCTGCTCCTCAGTTTATTGCCTCTACAGCAAAGAATTAAAAAAATAAAAAATAAAAATACACCAGAAGTAGCTAAAGTATCACAGATGTCCCAGGCAAAAGAAAATAACCTGAATTTATTGGAATGCCCATTTTAATCCTACTTGACTGAATAGACCTATATATTTAGTTAATTGAGCCCAATCTCGAAACCTATTTAATGCGCAGACTGATTTGATTAAATCATTGAGTCATAAGGCTTTTCTGGAAACCGGTATTGGCCTATTGAATGAAACAGTGACATTTTATTGGGACAACTGGGACTTTGATCCGTGACTGCTTTATGCACTGCATTTCTTTTCACTGTCTTGAGTAAGTTTCTAGAAATCTATCCACAGTAATAGTTAACCTTTTGTCTAAAGTACTCTTGACAGAAACGTGTCAGGTAATCTCAGTTGCTAAAAGTGAAAACATGTGTGTGCTGGATGGTTTTTTTCGTTATGCTGTCAGATTCTAATCATACTTGTGTTCCCTCTAGCTGGACTCTGAGCAAGAAGCCTTACGGGCCCGTTTGAGAAATGTCCAGGATAAAGTCATGTACACCCTTGTGTCTGTACCTGATGGGAATGACATCTCCTCCATATTTGAGCTTGACCCTACCACGTTAAGAGGGGGAGACTCGCTTGTACCCAGGTAGGAAGGCAATAACATTTGGGTAGTAAGTGTTTCAGACCTGCCCAGGCCTGTGTTACAGAGACAACCGCCGTCCATTCCCTGCTCTGTCACTCTTTCCACTGAAAACCAAACTAGTAAACAAATTATGCGTAGGGGACTTCCACCGTATATCATCATCTCAATATGCTTGTAGAACCACTCGCTGGAGCTTGGAGTAGAAGTCGTTAATAGTTAGTATTGGAAGGCGATCAGAGCTGAGGTGGCATGTGACGCTCTGAAAATTTTACAGATTATTTTTACTAAATCTTTCTGTACAAAAACTCTTCAGCGTCATTTTTAATATCTTATTTAATATCGTGTGTTTTTCGTCATTACCTGCAGACATTGGACTGAAATGCTATAAACCACCTTTGACACAGTAACCTTTTTAAGTAGAGCAAATCGCATCTGGAATTAAGTCTTTAATTTAAGCCAATGAGATTATTCTCTACAGGTCGAACACAACCCAGCACTTAAATACAAGCATATCTTGCTCATGAGGTTTTACATACATGGCATCAGATTCTTGATTATCTTTACAGACGTATAACTGGAATGAGAAAACTCAGTGATGGACTGGTCTATGAATCTCGCTCTACTCTCATGCTCTACTCCACTATAACACTATTCAAAGCACCTAATAATATTATAACCAAAAAACTTCATCACATTTTCTCTACTGAAAGGGAATCCTTCATCACATTTTCTTACACATTGGGCCACAGTAGAGGCCGCTTTACTCGGGGGCACCATATCTGCTTTATATTTGACTCTGTAATGTCCATAGATTTTTAAATTTCAGGGATGCCTAAAAGAATACCGCTGTGTTTGTAGTTATTGGCAGTATTGGCCCCCTTTGAGTGAAGATGCTGTGTGTCATTTCCTTTTCAAGTGGCTTTATGTACTATCTAGTATTTGTAATCATGAAAAAAAAATGTGTTTTCAGGAACTCGTATGTGCGCCTCAGACACCTGTGCACAAACACATGGGTTCACAGCACCAACCAACCAATTGACAAGGAGGAGGAAAAACCTGTAATGCTGCGTGTGAGTGACAGTTTGTTTGCATTAATATGTGAAAATGTTGCAGCTTTTGTCACAACTAGACTCTGTACATGATTCTGAGGTGAAATTCTGAGGGGAGATTTTATGTGTCACCAAGGGGTCAACAGTAATAAAAACCTAAACCAACTGTCAGCTGAAATAGCTTCTGTACAACCACCTCCTTCCCTGCTGTGAAGTTATAGAAGTGTTTCAGAACTGAACATTGTGAATATTAAGTGTCCAGTTAATGTTTTTAAGAATAAATGTAAAATTGCAGTTTCATTAATTGGTTTGTTAGATTATTTGGGGAAGTACCTTCAACAAGTGGTCGCAGAAACTCTTTCTAAATACAAAAAAAACATCACATTCCTCTGATAGTTGACAAAGCACCCTTCTTTTTGATGTAAGATTGGCACCTCGGCTCTAAAAGAGGACAAAGAGGCTTTTGCCATTGTGCCCGTCTCCCCGGCTGAAGTGAGAGACCTTGACTTTGCAAACGATGCCAGTAAAGTGCTCGCCTCTATTGCTGGAAAGCTGGAAAAAGGCACCATCACACAGAATGAGAGGAGGTATAAAATCCATAGTGGTGCCAGATTATGAATATCTCTCATGAAACAAGGTAGCTATGTCTTATTGCTTTGTGTGTCTCTTTTGCATGTACAATCAGAGCGGTAACCAAGCTTCTGGAGGATCTGGTGTTCTTTGTGGTGGATATTCCCAACAATGGACAGGATGTTCTAGAGATCATGGTCAACAAACCCAACAGGGAACGACAGAAACTCATGAGAGAACAGAATATTCTCAAACAGGTAATGCCTTAATACAGTTAATATAACATTTTGAAAAACTCTTTACATTTCTTGAACATGAACTTGTTTGATCCTCACTGAACTCCCCTTAAGCTCTTCTCCAAATCTTTTTAAGACTCTTTATCATTACTCAAAGCGGCATGGCTGTCAGGCTTGATATCTGTATCAGTGTGTTCTTTTGGCTTTAACTTCAGTATGACAACAATTGTCACAACCCTATCCCTGTGTTCAGATCTTCAAGCTGCTGCAGGCTCCATTCACAGACAGTGGGGACGGGCCCATGCTGCGACTGGAAGAGCTTGCTGACCAGCGTCATGCTCCCTTCAGACACATCTGCCGCCTGTGTTACCGGGTTTTACGTCACTCTCAGCAGGACTACCGCAAGAACCAGGTACAGTTTTTCAAGCTTTATGAGCACTGGCACTGTATGACATGGGTGTACGTGACACTGGAGTTTGAATGAAGATGCATTCCTTGATTAAATCTAATAGTAAGTGAAAGAGGGCTTTGCTCTTCAGCAGCCTTGGTATTTTTAGCAAAACAAAAAATGACCTGAATCTAAGATGTGTAATTGAATGTCCGGTGCATTTTGCAAGGACGAAATGCTGAGCCCTGTGTGGATACACAGAGCCACAGAGTGATACAAGCTCATCCTGTAACAAATGCTTGTAAATGTGAAATACAACTATCCCATTTTCTAAGAACGGTCGATTTCTCTTAAACACATTACAGTGTAATTGTTAGAGGGGTCATTTAATAAAGCTGAATAAGGAGGCAGTCTGGTCTTTATGAACACGCTCTGTTTTTTTACACACAGATGGCCTGTATCAGTCCATGCAAGTAATGGATATGGACATAATAAGGTTAAAGATAAAGATTAAGGTGCTAGGTTAATAATGACATTTTTTGCAATAATGACAGTAAGTTTGTGACATTTTGTTTTGGGTTATGTGTGCTCAGACTGTTTATTGTCTGTCCCACAGGAGTATATAGCCAAACAGTTTCGCTTCATGCAGAAGCAGATCGGCTATGATGTCCTGGCTGAGGACACAATTACAGCCCTTCTCCATAACAACCGCAAACTGCTAGAGAAACACATCACTGCTGCAGAGATCGACACGTTTGTTAGCCTAGTCCGCAAGAACCGTGAGCCCAGGTTTGTGTGTATGTGTGTGTGTGTCAGTCTGTATGTACACCATCAACACAGTAATCTGTGTAAAAGATAGGAATCAACAAGATAATGTGTAAATACGCATCTTTCATATCCTGTTAATAATCTGCATTTCCTGATCATACAGCATCCTCTATACATGTATACATACAGTATGTTCACTTATACCATGCAAGCAGAATGTGCACACAGCAGTGTACACTACCACAGCCACTAACTGACAAGTAAGGACATTCAACATTTTATTTTAACATACAACTTAAATGTCACTTAAGTTGCATGTTAAAATATCCCTTTTCTGGTACAATACAACAGTATCATAAGACATGGTACATCGGTACATTATTCACTGTGGAAGAAAACTTTTGATGCTTTTGCAGGCTGAATCATCGCTGGTTCTTGACCTTATCTTGAGTTTTTCTTTATAAAAGCATCAAAGGTGATTGAATTTTACATGTTGTGTATGTGTGTGTGTGCGTGTGTGTGTGTGTGTGTGTGCGCGTGTCCAGGTTCCTGGACTACCTGTCTGACTTGTGTGTGTCAATGAATAAGTCCATCCCTGTGACACAGGAGCTCATCTGTAACGCAGTGCTGGATCCAGCTAACGCAGACATCCTCATAGAAACTAAGTGAGTAGTCCTCCCATCCTTTTTTTACAGCTTGAGGGTGATAGTAATGACATTGGGAGTCATTCTACTCTAATCCTATTACTTTTATGAAAATTAGTAACATAATGCTTACTAGTTTATTTTCATCAGCTTTTAACAAAAAAAAACCCAAAACAAATCCTCTCCTCCTGCAGACTTGTGCTGTCGAGATTTGAGATCGAGGGAGTTCCGCTCGGGGAGAACTCTGTGGAGTCAGAGGAAGATGAGGAGGAGGTGTGGTTGTTCTGGAAAGACAGCAATAAAGAGATCCGGAGTAAAAGCATCAGGGAGCTAGCCCAGGATGCCAAAGAGGGCCAGAAGGAGGACCAGGAGGTGATCAGTTATTACAGGTAGTTACTGTACTTTTATTTTTCATGTGGTTCTCTGGGATAAGGAGATAACGCTAGTCAGCGTCATATTGTGCTGATGACTGAAGGTAAATCAACTCAGGTTTAGGGTGTTCAGACACATTGTGCCGTTTCAACTGTAAGTCTGACTCTACTTCTATACATTTACCGCTACAGGTACCAGCTGAACTTGTTTGCCAGGATGTGTTTGGACCGACAGTACCTGGCAATCAACAAGATCTCTGGCCAGCTGGATGTGGACCTGATCTTGCGATGCATGTCGGATGAAGACTTGCCCTATGATCTGCGAGCCTCCTTCTGCCGCATGATGCTACACATGCATGTGGATCGTGATCCTCAGGAGCAGGTTACGCCTGTCAAATACGCTCGACTCTGGTCAGAGATCCCCTCAGAGATTGCCATTGACGAGTAAGTAAATGGACACATTTAATGGATTGTTCATTGTAGAATATTTCATAGAGATTAACTTTTTTTCTAAATTAACTTGTGCTTTTCTTGTTGTTTTACTGTAGTTATGACAATGATGGAACATCTAAAGATGAAATTAAGGAGCGATTCTGTCAGACTATGGAGTTTGTTGAGAACTACCTGAGAGATGTTGTGTGTCAGAGCTTCCCTTTTGCAGATAAAGAGAAAAACAAGCTTACCTTTGAGGTCAGTGATATATAATCACATTCAATAGTCACAGTTGTCACATTTTGATAGTGAAATCAGCAGAAAAAAAACATTTAAATCACCTCTCTTCTATGTTTAAGGTGGTGAATCTGGCCAGGAACCTGATTTATTTTGGCTTCTACAACTTCAGTGACCTCCTGAGATTAACCAAGATCCTACTGGCTATTCTAGACTGTGTCCATGTGAGCACCATTTTCCCTTTCAACAAGCTGGAAAAAGAAGATGAGAGTAAAGGTATGAACACTACGGTTGGGCAGTGGAGGACCAAGTATCTCACTGACATGAATTTGATGTCTTGTATTTGTGCATGTGTGTGCTTGTTTCCAGGCAGTAACGTGATGAGGTCCATTCATGGCGTAGGAGAGCTGATGTCCCAAGTAGTTCTGAGAGGAGGGGGCTTCCTACCTACTACTTCAAACAATAGCACCAATGGAGACACAGTCAAGACCCAAACTGAACCTGAGAAACAGGATATACTGGTAATGGACACCAAGCTCAAGATCATAGAGATCCTGCAGGTAAACAACATGCAATATTATACATGTAGAAGCATACAGTGCATACGGTATATCAGCCAAAGTCCCTCTCTCCTCCAAAATATTCACATAAACCCCTGTTATTTTCTGTCCTGTCCTGTAGTTCATCTTAAATGTGCGCCTGGACTACAGGATCTCCTGTCTACTGTCTATATTTAAGAGAGAGTTTGATGAGAGTAACTCCCAGAGTGAATTATCTGTAACTGGAGCAGTGGAAGGACCTAACAATATGCCAGGTCAGGTTAACATATGGAGGTTAACATATGGATGTACGCAGATGTGGCACCAATAAAATGGACTTTGTTGGACTTTGTTGCGCCAATAAAATTGACTTTTTTTTAATTCCAGGTGCTTTAGATTTTGAGCACATAGAAGAGCAGGCAGAGGGGATATTTGGTGGAAGGTAATCCCAGCTACAATAAAGAAAGAGTCACAAAATACAAGAAAAGGGATGTGTTTTCATTTGAGTGTGGTTTTCTGTGTGTAGTGAAGAGAACACCCCACTGGACCTGGACGATCACGGTGGCCGTACCTTCTTGAGGGTCCTTCTCCACTTAACCATGCATGACTATCCCCCTCTGGTGTCTAGAGCCCTCCACCTGCTCTTTAGGCACTTCAGCCAAAGGCAGGAGGTCTTGCAGGCTTTTAAGCAGGTACCCTAACAACTCAGACACATCTAAAAACTTAAGCAATGAAAATCAAGTAAAATTTTATGTGCATTTGATTATTTTTTCCATTGTGACACATGCATGCGTTCATACACAAATTCAGTAAAATGTGAATGTGGAATCAGCATCACCTTGCCATTCCAGTTTGCTCTGATCTGTGCTTTATATTATAACACACATGTGCTCACAGGTCCAGCTGCTGGTCACCAGCCAAGATGTGGAAAATTACAAGCAAATCAAGTCAGACCTGGACCAGCTGCGCTCTATTGTAGAGAAGTCTGAGCTCTGGGTGTACAAGAGGCAGGGGCCAGACGAGGGCATGGATGCAGGAGAAGGACTTTCTACTGAGCCAGAGCATAAAACGGTACAGTATATTTTACATCAAAAGAACCACACACAGGCACTGAAAAGCCCGGCGCCTTTAAGTATCTTTACTAGAGTATGGCTTTTTCTTTTATGCATTGTCTTTGGTGTACTCTGTAGGGGGATTCAGGGGGCACAGACAAACCAAAGAAAGCAGAAAGTACCAGCAGTTACAACTACAGGGTGGTAAAGGAGGTAACTGTCTTACTTTTAAGTATTGTTAACAAGCCCTTTAACTGCTCTGGAGACATTTTCCACATACATCACCCCCACCCCCACCATTTTCTTTCTCTTATTTTCTCACCTTTCTCAGATCCTGCTGCGGCTCAGCAGGCTGTGTGTCCAAGAAGGTCTGTCAGGCAGGAAGAGCAAGAAACAGCAGCAGAGGCTGCTGAGGAACATGGGGGCTCATGCTGTTGTCCTTGAGCTCCTACAGATCCCCTACGAGAAGGTACCAAGAACTTTCAGTGAAATGTTGCTCAATGACATGTTTGTGTAAAAGTGAAGAATGCTCATTAGTCATTTTCCTCTCCAGGGAGAAGATTTGCGTATGCAGGATATTATGAAGCTAGCCCACCAGTTTCTACAGAATTTCTGTGCAGGAAACCAGCAGAACCAAGCCTTGCTGCACAAGCACATCAATCTTTTTCTCAACCCAGGGGTGAGCAGCCCTGCCACAAGTCACACCACAGTGTTGTGTTGTCTATTGAGAATGGCTTTGACTTTAAACAACATTATTCTGTTCTGGTGCTCATCTTTCTTTTTCTTTTGTTCAGATTTTAGAAGCCATCACCATGCAGCATATCTTCATGAACAACTTCCAGCTGTGCAGTGAGATCAATGAGCGTGTGGTTCAGCACTTTGTCCACTGCATCGAAACGCATGGCCGCAACGTCCAGTACCTCAAGTTCCTTCAGACTATTGTCAAAGCAGAGAACAAATTCATCAAAAAGTGTCAGGACATCGTCATGGCAGAGGTCATGCCCCGCTGCCACCTTTCTTATTTTTGTATTACGCTACATTTTCCTTATGTCTCAATGTAATCGTTTATATTCCTTTCTTCCTACAGCTGGTGAATGCTGGCGAAGATGTTTTGGTCTTCTATAACGACCGCGCCTCCTTCCAGACTCTGGTCCAGATGATGCGATCGGAGCGGGACCGCATGGACGAGAACAGTCCTCTGATGTACCACATACACTTGGTAGAGCTCTTGGCTGTCTGCACTGAGGGCAAAAACGTCTATACAGAGATCAAGTGTAACTCCCTGTTACCACTGGATGACATAGTGCGGGTGGTGACACATGAGGACTGCATCCCTGAGGTGAGCTAAATCTCTGACAGAACTATTCTGCGGACTATGAGAAAGCTATAAGCCAGTTTCAGAGCAGACTCAGTCAACACTCTATATAAAGGCTTACAAAATACATCTATGCATCTTAATTCCATGCTTTTAATTATTATATTATTATATATATAACATTTAGAAAAAAAATTATCACTTAATAACTATCATATTACTTACAAGAAAGAGTTTTTTGCCTGTTAATGTTGAATTGTTTGATGATTTTTCCAACGATTCTACCACTAGTATTACTTTATCGTACTTGACTGTCAACTATCCTTGACTGACATTTTTACGTGAATCTGAATCCCAACCTTTCAGGTGAAGATTGCTTATATCAACTTCCTGAACCACTGCTATGTGGACACTGAGGTGGAAATGAAGGAGATCTACACCTCCAACCACATGTGGAAACTCTTTGAGAACTTCCTGGTTGACATTTGCAGAGTAAGGAACACCGGGATTTGGATTTTTAAACTCACTCAGGAAATGGGGATTGTTAGATCCAAGCAATTTTGTTATGTTTTGGTGATTACAGGTGTGCAACAACACAAGTGACCGTAAGCATGCAGATATCATTCTGGAGCGATATGTGACTGAGACAGTCATGAGCATCGTAACGACTTTCTTCAGCTCACCTTTCTCTGACCAGAGCACCAGCCTGCAGGTATGTAAAAAATCAAGTTAGTCAAGTTTAAAAGCATATACAGTAGCTCTGAAGTGCTGAATGAGTGTGAAAATGAATCCGAAGTCAATCCAAAAGGAAACATTTTTGAACGAAACAAGGATAAATTGGTCCTTTCTGTTTAATTAAAGTAGGTTTGATCAACAGCAGCAGTAGGAACGTCAGTCACCAGTGCAGAATTACAGTCATTGTCTGTTGACAAAAACAGATGTGGAGGTCTACACCTCCAACCACATGTGGAAACTCTTTGAGAACTTCCTGGTTGACATTTGCAGAGTAAGGAACACCGGGCAGCTCTACGGCAAATTGTACTGTTTTCCTCACTCAGGAATTGAGGATTCTTGTCCGAGCAATTTTGTAATGTTTTGTTATGTTTTAGTGATTACAGGTGTGGAACAATACAAGCGACCAACATTACCAGCTAAGCTACATTACTGTGTGGAGAGGTGTCTGTGTGTACATCTGTTGCTATAAACTTTCCTTGTTGTGCTGTCACGATCTCTGACTCATACAGTATGTCTAAAATTTCCAGTGCTCTCTTGTTACAAGGTCATCTTTCTCAGAATGTACCTTTAAATGGCCATGCCGCTACCATGAAGCTGTTCGATGAAGAGAAAGCCTTTTCTAAGAAAGAGAGATGCAGTAACATGAGATAGCTGGTTGATTTGACAGGCGTAACCTTATATCTACATATAAATACCACCATAACGCTTGCATATTAAAGTATGTGTTGTACTCTAGGTGGCCATCAGAAGGAATGTAAGTACAGACAGAATATAAATTAGCTATCCCATGTAATGTCAGTCGAATAGTGTGACTCTAGAGAAACCTCTCATTCAAAAGCTTAACCATCCACTGCAGTGTTTTTCACATTAAGTGCTTCCTTAAGTGGTAAAATTAGTGATCCAAGGATTTTCTGAGAATTTTCTTCCTCTGCTTAATGTCATTCCAAGCGGTTAAGGAGAATGAATGTTCCCCTTCTCTTCCCATGTCTACGTGTAAATCAGAATGTGTTAGTCATGGTTCTGTAGAGCTAATTAGACATTACAAAGTTAAGACCAGTCATTCTCATGATTGTTGGCCTGCTGTTGTGTTGATTAGTCATTTCCTTTGTAGTTATACAAAAAAAAATCTAATTTTTATTATAGAAGCAAACTTTCATAGATTAGTCGAAGTAGTCATTCACAAATATATGTGTTTTCTATTAATTATAACAAACTCACATTGTTTTACAAATTCACTGTTTGTATTATAGAGCACTGTCTATGAAATGTATAGATGTGTGTGTGTGTGTGTGATGCATCTTGGTCATTTTCCGTGAATGTTTTATTTCTTTACTGCTTATATCCTCTGCTGCAGGCCTCTCTGCTGGGGAAAATATTTCAGGTATTTGTAATTCAATTTAGTAGGGAAAACACAGTTGGGTGTAAGAGAAAATCATTTTATCTTGTTATTTCTGTATGTGTATGTATTCAACACATACAGAAATGTGAGCAAAACTGATTTTCACTGGGCTCACTTTGGGCAAATGTCTGCTTAGGGATTGATGGGTCTCCTGGAAAAATAACAAACCACCACAGGGTCAGCGTGCTGTTCTGACTACAGGAGCTGTCACACCCGCTAAGCTAGATCACTGTGCGGAAAGGTGTCTGTGTGATACTAAAAGGCAAAGCTTATGGTCCAGATTGGTGGTACTGTAGATGACAGATAGGTATCTTTCATGTGGTCAAGGGACATCTTTCCTTTATTAAAGACTAGAAAAAGTTAGGCTAGTTAGAGCAATATAATAATCTACAGTCTCTCCTCTTTTTTCCCCCTGTATCTTCTTCTCAGACCAGGCAGCCAGTCTTTGTGCAGCTGTTGCAGGCAGTGTTTAGGGTCTACCATTGTAACTGGTTGATCCCAGTCCAGAAGGGCTCTGTTGAGAACTGCATCAAGGTGCTCTCTGATGTTGGTAAGACCAAGATCCTTCTCAAAGTCCTTACTTTTAAGGCCTTAATCGTCCCAATGTGTACAGTAGGTTTAACAGTATTATTATAAGCTATGTTTACTTACTGACTTGCTTACCAGGGACAATGCACATTAATCAACATTGCAGTTTACACTGTAGTGTAAATGTTAGCTAATAAGCTGATTTGCATACATAGTCCCTGGGGGGGTTATAACAAATTAGTGCCTAATGTTACTAAAAGTGCTACAAGAACAATACAATACAATATAATACATAAATACATTACAGGTGACAGAGATATGAGATCAGGTGGTAAGATTACTCATGAATGCAAGTTAAGTTTGCCTTCAGCCACATACTTTTGAAGATAAGTTTATCTTTAAAAGTAAAGTAATTATTGCACTCTCTTAGTTCAGTAGATAGGCTATTCTAGTAGTGGGTGGCTCTGAGAACACTGCTACATCAGTATTGTACAACAGTCTTCTCTGGTAGCTGCCCTTGTTGCCCTACCACTGCTATCTTTCTGCTCTCTGACCTGGTTCAGTGGGGAAGGGGAAAGCCCATGTAAGACCTTAAAGATGAGGGAAGCATCTGCAAAATGATTTTAAAATTATCTAAATTACATAAACAGTACTTTTGTATTTTATGACAATGGTGATAACTATTGACCTTCCTGTCAAGTGTTTTATTGCAATTACAAGTAAAGAGAGGGTTTTCAGCAAAAGTTACTGGAGCAGATTTATCTTCACACTGCTTGTGTGTCTTCCTGCCAGCCAAAGGCAGAGCCATAGCCATCCCTGTGGACCTGGACAACCAGGTGAACAACCTGTTTGTAAAATCCAACAACATTGTCCAGAAGACAGCCATGAGCTGGAGACTTTCTGCTCGCAATGCTGCTCGCAGAGACTCTGTGGTTACTGCTTCACGGGACTACAGGAACATCATTGAGAGGCTGCAGGTACAGCATTTATGCGCTTTTGTTCTTAGTAATGTGTGCTAAATCATTCAAGTAGTGAGGATGTTTCTTTGTCTGGACTGTAGGACATTGTGTCAGCTCTCGAGGACCGTCTACGCCCGCTGGTCCAGGCTGAGCTGTCAGTACTGGTGGACGTGCTGCATCGACCTGAGCTGCTCTTCCCTGAAAACACAGACTCACGCAAGAAGTGTGAGAGCGGAGGTTTTATATGCAAGTAAGCCCAGAAAATACCCCCTTCAGCTAAATATATCTTTTTTTGACGTATGAGTGAGTGTATTTATTATAAATGAGACATATAAACTAACTTACTTACGCAGGCTGATCAAACATACCAAGCAGCTGCTGGAGGAGAATGATCAAAAGTTCTGCAAACGCTTCCGAGAGCATGATGACTTAAAAGACCGTGGTTAGGAGAGAAGGTAGCGAGGAGTGGCCAAGGCACAGTAAGGGGGGGTACATGTTCATGTACTTCATGAACATGGTATGACTTTATATTGTATTGTAAAATTAAGTCAACTTCTTAGGAACTATAAATAAAAGTCAATTTTTGCCACAGTATATTTGAAGTGATTTCAGAGATGTGTTTTCCACCTCATACAAGACCAATTGAAATGGAAAATGATCAGAAATTGAGTTCAAAAGTATTAACAAAAGAAATCACACAAAAACAGCAGAGATATATGAGATATATACAACACTTTTTGGTGTATGACAACATTTTTGTCAACTGCATCATAGATATTCACTCCTGATACACAAACTGCCACTAGTACCCTTATTTTGAAGGGAATTAGCTTGTTCCTTCTGTCACCGTAACCTCTGTAGTCAATAAGCCAGGACGGGTCACTTCTCAGAAATGCTTTTAGCCACACTCACCACGGTATGAGACTGCACTAATTCTGCTCACTGTGGGTAATATCTATTCATAAATACTATTTCCTCTGTGTGCTGAAGATAAAGTAATCCTCACAGTCTTAACTCACTTAACTAACATGTCATGCTGTATTTTTGACCTCTGCTTTAGCTTCCTCCTTCCTGTGTTGTTATCTAACCATCCTTAAACCCTCTGTTCTCTTTCAGCTCAGGGCCTTTGATGATGAGATGGATATGCCTAAGGTTGTTTGTCTTTTTCACCTATTCATGCCTTCTTTTTCCCTTAGCTGGTATTTGTCATGTCTGTGTAACACTAGTGTAACTGTACTATAGCAGCTGCTGTGGCTGTGTGCTGTAGTTAGCTGAGGCTCTAGGCACAGCTGGTAACAAGTAGTGGTAGGCCGATTCTGTCTTACACCTGCTGCACTTTCTGCCATAAACCGTTGTGTACATCAACTGAAAACGGTGAGAAAGAAAGAGAGAGAGATACTGTAGGGGGTGAGTGCTGTGGCTGTGTGTGTTGCTCAGCAGAGCTGTGTTATTTCAAGTTCCAAGGTGAGTCACTTGCTTGCTGGGCAGACTGCCCACAGTGGACATTTACATGCCCCACTTTCTGCCAGTTTAATCACCATGTCAAGTAAAAGTCATTTTGAGACATATTTACTGTATATTTTAACATTAATTCCATGCTGATGCCATGTTTTATGTTACACTCATACAATCAGCATGACAATCAGAAGGTTCATGTAGCCTTACTTATTACAAATAAAATACACATGAATAAAGAAAAATAAGAGGCATATCAAATGAACAAGTTGGATGTAGAATGTAATAACCAAATAAAACACATCACAACTTAAATGTAATGGCAATTTCTTTTTAAAACTTTAATCAGGAGCTTTAAATAATATATAGGTTGACATTCCGTATCTGGAACTGGCTGCATCTGGTTTTACAAAAAACAAAAAACAAAGGTGAAGATAGTTAAGTCATAAAAGCCATATCACTTCCTTCCCTCTCTTTTTCTTTTCACCAAGGTGTTTTATTGTCTCTGTCATTGTTCAGCTTCATATGGTGTTTCCCCTCTATCTCCTTTAAGTGCCAATAGGGGGCACTGTGACTGTGTGCGTGCCATATATACAGTATGTGTGTGTATTAATGAACGTGTGGGGCTGTAAGGGGCTGTGGCAGTCATTGAGGCTGTGTCCTAGTTTTCCTTGCCTGAGAGCTGCACGATTCCTGGGCCCTTGCCAACTCTGGGCTGACGTTACATAAGAACCAGGCTTTTTTTTTCCTGGAATTCAGCCCCTCTGCTGATGTGTGACCTTCAGCAGTAATTGCCAATAAAAGTGTGGAGGAGCTGTTTACCCACACCGCCGTTGTGTATGTGTGTGTGTGTGTGTGTACACCTGTGTTTGTGGGGGTGGGGGGGTCGAAGGACTGTTTGCATGAGTGTGTGAGAGAGATGATACCTACACACACCTGCAAATGTTGTATCTCTGTCTGTCTACACATGAAAAGCAGCACCGAAGAATGGTAGCGGAATGGAAACCTGCACCCACCCCCACATGTGCCAATTCTCATGTTTCTTTTCTCCTCTTTTGGGCCCATTAAATCATTGTGACACAATTCCTCAAATATTCTTCCACTTCCACTCACACCCTTTCTCGCATGGATGCAAACACACACCCACTCTGTGTAAACTAAATGGAGTTGGCTGTGAGTGTTTGTGTAGGTGTGATATGAAAGTGCGTAGTTGGCACCTGTCTTCTCCGTTGCCCTTTTGAGTAAAGCAGAATAGCATAGTATACAACTGAAGAAGGGTGAATGTGTGAGCTTGAAACATGACTTACACGGGCCACGCAAAATAGGTTTATACAGCAGTATTCTGCTGTCATTTATCGAGATAGCAAGAAATGTATTTTTGACCTCCCCAGAGTGTGCATACCACACTGTTGCTAAATGTCAGGGAGGTGATTATCAGCTAAATCCATTGCTCTTTGGCTGTCAGACTTATGTAAGAGCCAGAGGAGTTAAGGATACACAGTGTTCAGTGTTGGGTTTTTACTCT